CTCGTCCTTCCTACCCTACCTCTCTCCCACTTCCTACCTCTCCCCCTTCCTACCTCCCCCCCTCTCTCTCCTCCTTCCTCTATCTCCTTCCTCTCCCTCCTTCCTACCTCCCCCACTCCTCCTCTTCCTCTCCCTCGTAGTTGTTTCACCTCCTGCTGACGGGACAGTCAGTGTGGGTCTATCCCCCAACCAGCAAGGAGGAGGGGGATGGACACAGATTGTCTGTCCTTCACTTCACTTAAATGTGTTTGACGACGAACTAGCTCTGTCTACGTTGATATCCTTATTACATAATGATAATGCGCCATCATATTTATCAAATCTTTTGAAACGATATATTTCAAGTCATATTTTAAGGTAATCGGCTGACTAAAATAAATGTCTTTTATCATCTATTAAACTTAAAACAATGGGTGAGAAGGGCATTTTATGTATGCCTGCAATGTTTTTTGCCCAGTTGTTTAAGAGGTATCAAATTCTGTGTGCGACAGTGAACATAACCGCTACAAAACTGATGCCAGTGCCGTCTGTTGTGAAGAACTTTTATGGACATATTTTTAATTTCAGAAACATCAAGAGGAGCGAAGATGAGTTCTGTTTCAAGATTTTAAAATGTTGAGTTTCACGGTGCTCGCAAAACCTGTGAGAATGAAATTTAGGATTGGATTTGGAACTAATAAAACAGTTGCAGCTTTTGTGAACTCAGGCATCAACCAATGATGGTCAACAGAATCCTAACGGGGTGCACACTACGGATGGATTTGGCCGATCGCCCGACTCGATCGCCTGAAACTGAAAACACACACGTTTGTTTTTTAGGCGATCGAGTCGGGGCGATCGGCCCGATCGGCCGATCCTATCCGTAGTGGGCACCCCGTAAAGCGAATGAGTTGTTAAGCACAAGCGGAGTCGGCAGTATTGTATTTCAACATTTGTGAGAGCCCAATAATTGATTAATTGGCAGAATGTGTAACAGCAGCTTGGACTGTGACGGATAGAAGGGTCATTACACGTCAACCTCTGAGTCCGAGATGACACCTCTAAAAAACAGAAGAAAAAAAATGATCAAGAAATCTTACAGAAGAGGTCTCTAAGAGGTCCTATGTCTTCTCTCTTACCCTATTGTAGCGATTAACAGTCGTGTTTCTCCCTAGCTTTAACTGCCACTTCCCCTGTGTTTTTCGTGTCCACTTTTATCTCAAAACAGACTGCCTATGTCAAAGGGTTTTATGTGCATTTCAGGCGCTTGAGAAAAAACAAATCTGAAAGCAATCTTCAGATTGTAGATGGGCTTGTTGTGAAAAGACGTATGATGTTCCTCTATACTCTAAGCATGGAACTAACAAGATTGCAGCTAAAACTGCAGCGACAGAAAAAAAAGAAACCTACGAATGATTACCCACTTGATTATAAAAATGTTCTTAACCAACATTCTACATGAACGGCGCACAAGATGAAAACAGGCCAGTTACAACAACAGTGAAGTGACTCTAACCACTTGAAAGCTTCTATGGGCTCAAAAACAAGTCTTACTGATTCAGTGGGGAGGAGGGGGTGGGGTATGTGTGTGTATGTGTGGGGGGGATTGCTCTTGGACAACTCTACCAATGAGACTATTCACATTCTTAAGCTCGTGCATACATTATGCTCAGATTTAACATCTGTATCAGCGTTTAGGAAAGTCAAGAAAATCAAATGTATTCCACAGCTCATCTCAACAAATCAATACCAGTCCAAACGACCGCTATGATTTCAGGATAGAATAGTTACCGTAGGCCTATAGACTGTGGCACATTTCTACACATAGTCAGTTTGTTATTGCTTCCCTGAGAATCTCCATCAAAAGCCAATAATGTCCAAGCAATGAACGGCTCCTTCATATCCTCTACTTTACTCGTTAGTAAACCAGAACCGCGTGTAGTTTCAAATGGTGCACAGCTTATCTCAACTAATCCCATCAGCCCATCGTACTGGTAAGACTGCTGGATCATGTATTATACTGTGTCCATGTCTGCAGCACTTTTTAAAATATTGAAATATGGAGCCCTTATAAAAAAAACTATTCTTTAATTTAATCAGCGCTGGTGTTGAATACCAAAAAAAAAGAAAGTGGCAAATACTTTTCAGTCACGTAGAGAACGAAAGGACCGAAAGCTATATAGAGCAAAAATAATTGATGTATACTGTCCAAATACTCATGACACCTGTATTGTCCAACAAATGCTGAAAGTAAGGACGTGGGTTTTTTTGCGGGGGGGGGGGGGGGGCTGAGCCGACAAGAAGCACATCAACAACTAGTCACACAGTAACATTGCTATGTAATACCTGACGACAGTGGTTTCAAAGCAGGATTTGAAATCTATTGGCAGTTTTGGGGGGCTTTGTTTGTTTATATTTCTTGGTTTGTTTGAGCAGGTGTTTTAAGGCAATATCGACTCAGTTTTTGTTATCTATTGGCAGTGCCTAAACAGAATTAAATATGACCAAAAACTCAAGAGAAACATATTGACAGAATAACGGTCATTTAGTGCTGGGATTAGAGAGTAAAACAGACTGACAAAAACAACAGAGGGAAAGTAAAAAGGTTGGACCTACCAGTGGTGCCATCCAACCATTCGCTGTATTAAGTTGCCCTTACAGAGTGAAACCACATTAAACACACACGTGAGTAATTAGCAAAAACATAGAACCAGCCAGAGGTTCTACTCTACTATTTCCTAGTGAAAGACACTATGAAGAAATGTTTCAAACGTACAAATATCAACTCTTTGGCATTGATCGGAAGACAATCTTCAATTCAAAATTGGACAAGAGAAATTCGCTGGAAGAGAAAAGGAAAACACTGCTCCTGATCGACTTCAAAAGGACTCTAAGGGCTGTGTTCCCATACGCTTGCGGGGTTCTTTGAATACCCTTGAGGTCCACAGCAAAAGTTCAGAACTACGAACATTGACAAATAATTTAGTGAGGAGAGATTTGATTCTTTCAAAAAGGACACATTCAACAAAGAGCTGAGTGCTAAACTTATCAAGAGTCGATGAGGGATGCCAGTACATGTACCGGAATATGACCAGAGCTCTCTTGGGTTTTTTTTTTAGACAGTGAACATTGCACGATCAAGCTGGAATTCGGCAGGTATCAGTGCCCGATCAATGTATACAACCGTGCTTTCAGGAATGACTTGATGCTCGACCGATGAAAGTCTGGAGATCCCGGAGATATTTCGGATTTCAGCAGACTCCATTGTAGTAACTGGTGTCTATGGTGTAGCGGTTACAAGCTGCGATGTCGCACGCAGGAGACCTGAGTTCGATTCCCAAGTGGGAAGAAATGTTTACCCTGTACTTTGGTCTTACTACTGGGATTTTGTGTAAGTTTGAAACACTTTAAAAATAAA